ATCTAATAAATATAGACGGTCCATATCATCATACGGGTCCGTAATTTAATTGTCCTATTTTGCTTAGAAATATATGGAATAGAGATAATTGTTTTTGTTATTGGTGTGAGGATATTATGGACTTGGTTGTAGAAATTTTATGAACCTAGGTTTAACGGAAACAATCATCATGCATTCCATTTAATTAATTGTTTATACTTATCATTTTGAAAGTTATTATTTTGAGAAAAAATGGTGAATACCGTGGTGATCTGGTTAGAGAGTGTTAATTGTGGTTTTTAAATAGCATGTGTTAAAGTCTACAAATTCCGTGCAGTTAGGATGCCTTCCTTCGTTAGTTGTCGTAATGTGACTTTGGTATGCTTTTATAGGTTTTATAGTTTATTTGCAGACATGTACCTAGAGATTACTAGTTGTTATTTACGCCTGTTTTTTTTTTTAATCTAATGAAAGATATAAATTGTGATTTGAAACTCTGGATTGCACTATTTAAAAAGGAATGAAAAGCATGATTTGTAATAGTATTTCATAGTCATTCACATGATATGGTGTTTGTTATATCATAACTGTTTATTAATTTTGTTTTTTACTAGGCTTTAGCTCATATACATAGAAAAGACTTTCGTGCTGATGGTATGTCTCCTAAGGCTTTTGGTTATATTCGGTCTAGACCAACTTTTGTTATAATCAGTAATATTTGAACTGCAGTCGATAAGGCATGAATATGTTAAGGGTTTTCTTACTCGCGGTCTGACTTTAACTTATTCTCTCTTAGCCTAGTTTCCTTCTTGTGCACCAACAGGTTGAGCCTTTTTCTTTTGTCGTTTTATCTCCCTGTTTTGGGGTTCTGTTGATTTCATCAAAATATTGTGTTGTGAGTAGGGTTTGGTGATTTGATTTTCTGTAGCACTTCACGATGGCGAATGTATTTATTGGTGGAGCTTTGTGATTTGTGATTTCGGCTTAGTTGTATCAACGATTTTTGATTTGGTAATGCATTGCTTGGTGACTCTTCCTATTTGCGATTCGCATTTTGGTATACTAGTTATATTTTTTGATTTTGCGATGTGTGGAGTTGTCGACTGGTAATGTTCTATTTTGATTCAAATTTCAATGTTTGGTTCTTTTATTTGAGTTGAGATTTTGATTTTGTTGTGTATTGTTGTTACTTCTGTTGTTTCCTGCTGGCGATTAAATTTGCATTTTGCATATGATATTGAAGCTTTGAGATATGTATAGGATAAAGAATTTTAGATTTTTTTCTTTTTTTTTGTTACGAAATTGTTTGATGACACTATGATTGGCTAGTTTGTTATTTTATACAGTGAATAATTTTATCATGAGTTTTTGGGGTGTTGTTTGGATTTAACTTTTTGTAATAGTGATACTTATGCAGTGAGTGGGAAAAGGAGAGAAAAATTGCTATAATGTATGTAAATTTCAAATCGAGTTACCATGTCTAATAAGTGTAAGCATTATAGGCACTGTTCTTGGTTCTTTGGTGGTGTTAATGTTAAGAGTTTCAGTGTTGGTTTTTGGATGTGTTGAGTTTGGTTGATAATTTTATCACTGTATTTGATTTTGTTGTGGGGTTTGAGTTGTGTTGCGAAATATAATAGTTGTTTGTTGCTAGGATTAAGTAATAGAAGTTTATTGGCAGTTTAGGAGGGTGACATTGTTTATCAAAGGTATAATGATGGATTTTAATTTCAAAGAATTTAGTATATAAATTGGTGCAAGTAGAGTGAGTTAGTAGTAGTTCTTTCAATATATTGTATCAATGCTGGACATTTTTGTTATGGTTACAAAGTGAAGAGGATTTTGGAGGGTATGGTTTAGGACTTGCACTTTTTGTGATATTCATCTATTGATATTTTTTGTAAAGTGTTGTTCTTTGAGTGAAGGGTTACATGATTTGTAGATGTGTAGCTATAGTAGTAGTGTTTGTGAACCTAATTTTTTTTCCTTTCATTTAATTCAAATCTAACAGAACTTTGCTCTCTGATGGTGGTGTTAATTGTATGAAAAGAAGTGGAAAGGTTTGCCAAGGTGAGTTGTTGAATTTCGAGATGCAGTTGTCAAAGACATTCTATTCATTCCGGTTTTGATTTTGATTGTTCTTAAGAATTGATAAGGATGTGTCACTGTTTTATGTAAGAGAAGGAGTGTTTGGGATTTTTATGGAGATTTGATGCTAGTGGAAAATTATATAAAGCTTTTGATTAAACATTTGAGGATGTTCATACTTTGGATTCTTCTTTTACGTACATATTGAACTGCTAGGATACTTCAAAGTATGATTGTGGGGCTAATTTTAAGTGATAATTGAATAATGCTTTGACATAGGTAGTGATGAGGTGGTTTGTGATTTCAAGGACTATTATGGAACAGAAGTTTCTTATTGGCGAGCTTGGATGGGTGTTGAAAAAACAAGGGATGTTATTTTTGGTGACTATTCATCTTCATTTGACGATCTTCGTTGGTATGTTGATACCGCTAATGATTGTAATTCGGGGAGTGTTTTTGATATGGAATTTGATATTGATAGTAAAGGAAAATATTTCAAATGCTTGTTTTTCGCTTTTGAGGCATGTATTCATGGTTTCAAGTATTGTCGGCCTGTGTTGATGCTTGATGAAACTTTCTTGAACGGAAGACACAAAGGTTGTTTATTGGCTGCTATGGCAAAAGATGGTAACCAAGGTATATTCTGTGTCTATTTGTTATTATTATTAAAATAGTGATAATTCTATCATTTTTATTATTGGAGAGTGTTGATTATTGAGTATGGTCAATCTATTAGTGACAAATTTATGTTGTATACTTTTGTTAAATTTTTATATTTATACAGTGATAAATTTATCTATGGCTGGTGCTATATGTTATATACTTTGTGTTTTGATTTTCTTTTTGTAATTTTTTTTATTTGTTATTGATAACATGTATATATATTTTGTTTGTAGGTTTATATCCATTATATTTTGCCATTGTTGATAGTGAACGTTATGACAATTGTCATTGGTTCTTGTCAAAGTTATTTGTTATTTTGACTTCGGGAAGGGATAATACGTTTGTTACTGATCGACATGGAGGTTTGCTGAAAGCTTTAGCTAAGGTCTTTTTGTTTTCTTCTCATTCTTTTTGTCCAATGCATTTGAAAACAAACTTGAAGACTTATTTGTCAATGAAGAGTCGCGAATCTAAAGAGTATTTGCTCACTCCTTTTGGTAGATGTGCATATGCTATTACTATTGAGTTGTTTAATGAGCTATTTGAAGAATTTAAAGGTCGTTGTGGTCGTAGTGTTGAGAAGTTTCTTAAGGATTTGCCTAATGGGTGTTAGTGTAACGCTTATTTTCAAGGCAAGAGGTATGGTAAAATGTGCACAAATACTGCAGAATCTTTTAATTCATGGATTATGGATGAACGCCATTTGTTTTCAACTAGTCTTGTTGATGCTATACGGGTGAAACTAATGGAGCAATTTTCAAGAATGAGAGAAGTTGGAAATAAGTGGAATCGTATTGTTTGTCCTTTTGCAGAGAAAAAGTTGGAAGAAGCTTTTAATGATACAAAAGCATAGATAGTTAAGAAATGTAGCGATGATATTTATGAAATCCAATTGGATCATTCAGTTATGGTTGATATTGGGAAACGTTCTTGTTCTTGTCGATTGTGGAAAATTGATTCTTTTCCTTGCAAACATGGTTTTTGTGCTATAAAGAGAAGTGGGAAGGATCTGAATTGTTTTCTTGATAATGACTATCATGTTAGTAGTTATTATGATTCTTATTCACATTTTATCTATCCAGTTCCTAGTATGTGGAAGCCAAATGTAGTTGTTGATGATGACGTTGTTTTACCTCCTCTTTGTAAGAGACCAGCTGGACGTCCAAGAACAGAGAGAATACTTTCTAAGGGCGAAATCAAAAGAATTAGGTGCAGTAGGTGTGGAAAGATGGGAACTCATAATCGGAAGACATGTAAAGAAGCTTTGCTTTAGTTGTATTGATTTTAATTGAATTACTTTGTTGAGAGTTCAGAGGTGTTACTTGCATTGAATGATTGAGTATTTTTTGAAAGATGTATCATTTTGGTACTTGCATTGAATGATTGAGGAATTTGTTGAACCGAAATTATATTTTTTGCTAATATTTTTACAGGATTAAGTTTCACAGATTTATATTATTTGATTTGGGTTAAGTGTAGTTACTGTTTTTGGTGTTTTATATAGTGATAAATTTATCACTGGTTGGTTTGGACAAGTTGGTGGATTATTTTTTTGTAAGAATGATAAATTTACCATTGTCTTAAGAAAGCAATCAAGCATTAATGGAGTTCCTGAATTTTTTTTATTTTCAAGAATGATAAATTTATCATTGATTGTATGGGAAGAGTTGACGGTTTATTACATTTATATCGGCGATTGATAAATTTATCACTGTCATAGCCAAGTAAATGTTCTTTTTTGCAGTGATAAATTTATCACTAGCTGAAACTGAACAAAAATCAATTGATGTCACTAGTTATACATGTTTTTAGTTTTTCTATGCCTTGATTAATTCAAACAAGAATACAGCCTTGCTTGTTAGATAATGCAATCCTCAGAAACACAAATAATTTTTGCACTGAATTTACAATGATATATGCTAGACCTCTTTCCAGCAAATTAAGAACCAAAATGATCAAAACAATTTAATAGTGTTTGTGTTTTTATTTTCAATTTAGGTAAATTTTTTATTATTTTTTATAGTGATTTGTTTAATTGAGTTGGGAAAAAAGAATGAGAGTGAGAGAGAGAGAGAGAGAGAGAGAGACAGATGCTGGTTTTTTTGTTTGAACAGGGATAAATTTATCAGTGTTCACAGTGATAAATTTGTTGAAATAGGGATAACTTTATCATTGTAAACAAAACACTATAAAAAAATAAATTTATTAGTATAGTGATTTCAATCCTGTTATTAACCTTTAAATTTGACACAAATAATCATATTATAATAAATTTTTTGAATGAAACTTGCATAAAACAAGACCTAATAGTGTTTGTGTTTTAATTTTCAATTTACGTAAATTTTTTATCATTTTTTATACTGTTTTGTTTACTTGAGTTGGGAAAAAAGAATGAGAGAGAGAGAGAGAGAGATGCTGGTTTTTTTGTTCGAACAGTGATAAATTTATCAGTGTTCACAGTGACAAGACTAATATCAAAAGCTAGATCTGGTAACAATATGGATAAAAAAGACTGAATGTTTCTGAAAGGTATGTTTATTAATTTTGACATGGTAGAGATTTGTTTCATAGGCAAGTTTCCTTTTTGCTTTCCTCTTTTCAGCCGGTGTTTGATGCTTGAATCCTGATGAAGTTGTTGGACCCACTTTCTGTTTGATCATTGTTTCTTCTTCATCATTTTCTAGCTTCTCAAAAGAAAGCTCATTTGTTTGCACGTGAACCAAACCTTCTTCAGTTTCATGCTGAAAGTTGGCTTTCCTTCTTGCATTCTTTTTTGATTGCAATGTTGTTGATTTCCTCTTTTTTCGAGCACCTGTTTGATGCTTGAGATTCGATGAATTTCTTCCTAGACTAAGACTGAATATCTTTTTGATAATTGGTTTTTCTTACTTTTTAGATAATTCAGCCTGCTTTTGTTCCTCAAAGTTATATTCTTCATCTTCATGCTCATCTTCTGTTTGTGATTGCAATAGCTTGTATATGTTCTGTTCTTCAATTGTGTCTTTCAAATTGCTCTCCTACATGAATGAAAATTATTAAAAAGAATGATATGACACAAAGTTAAATAATAATTTATCATTCAATAATTCAAATTTATAATAAGACTAGTGATTTGGTTCATGATAACAAGTTTTATCAGTGAATTAGCAATGTTAAGCAAAATTTATCACTCAATGAAGCTAACTAAGCAAATTTATAACTGTGACTAAAAAGTTATCAGTGCATATCAAAATTTATCACTGCATAGCAAAATTCATCACTCAATTAAAGAAATAAAGGTTATACACTGATAAAACTTGTTTCTTGAATAATTTCCTAGAATAGATGAAATGCCTATATAATTTTCTACCAGAAATGTGACACCATGAAGATTAAGAAGAATTTATCAGTCAAGCTAAAATTTGTCACTGCATAACAAAATCTAATATTTGTTTAAACAAAACAAAGGTTATCAATGGATACCTCAATATGTTTCAGATCATACAAGGATGACTTTGCCAATTGTTCTCCCAGATGTGTGATGTTCCATTTTGTAAATCTTGGGATTGCATTCTTGTCATTTGGTTTGATGATCTTTGTATGCTCACTTATCCAATACTGTTGATGACAAAAAAAATGTTATAAATTAGTATTTAGTAAGTGTAAATATTATAGTTTATAAGTTGTAAATGAGGTATTTACTTACCAATAAGATGATCATGCATCCGCACACTCTATCAATTTGGTTGATGTTGTTTGCTATTGATCTTGTAAGATGTTGTTTTGCTGCGCCACACCAATCATAAGATTTTATTTTGTCAATATCTTTGAGGTATTTCATGAACCCCCAATCAATTGTAGTCCCAGTACTCGGATACAACAAAAGCAAACAAACCAGAAAGCACACAAGCCTAACAACATCTTCTACATCTTTATTGTTGTTGCTTCTCAAAAGTTTCGTTATCAATTTTTAGATTGAAGCCCTTGTCATTCTGCTCTTGGTTTATTTTCCTTCTTTGTACCATAGCTACCTCATTTTTTCTTCCGTATGCAAGATTTATCTTCTTCTGTCCACATGCAATACCAAAATACCAAAATTAACTTGAAGTCATTTTTTTTCAACTTCAGCATATTCCCACCAATTTCAAATGTGATTCCATCCATTTGGTAAGTTTGCAAAATTTTTGCAACCACATCATCATATTTAATTGAATCTCTTCTTTTAACCTTGTTTTCACTCAATGTATCAACTAGAAATGAAAAGATGTCTTTCTCAATAGTGTCAAATGCTCCTCTCTGAGTTTTGTTGTCTTGAAAAATTTGATAAGAGATTGAATGTTAGAACGGTAGACATACTTTGCTTCATTATCATGTATCTGTTCAGTCCTAATTTTTCTTCCATCAATCTTTTTCTTCTCTCTTGCTTTGTGGAGCTCTGTAGCTTGTTTCAGTTGTTGCTATTTGGGCTCCTCATTGTCAACGTTAGATTCAGGTTTAACTTCTTATTGATTTTCACTTTCATGTGTTGTTGGCTCTATAACAAACTCAACTTTTTTCAATCTTTTTCTTCTTTGAGAAACTTGTTTCTCGATGACGTAATCTTTTACGATGACTGGGAACATCTGTACAAAAACTTTGAGCATGAACATTGAAAATTAAGAAGAATTTTATCACTAAACTAGGCAAACTAAGAAGAATTTTTTACTTTATTATGAAAATTAAGCAAATACATAACTGTATAGCAAAGTTTAGATTCCAAATTGCAAAAGAACATGAAGTATCATGATGAAGATGAAAACAACTGATAATTTACCACTCAATGAGGTAAAGTAAGTAAATTTTATCACTCGATTAAGCAAAGTAAGCAAATCCATTATTATAACAAATTTTATCACTTAATTAGGCAAATTAAGCAAATCTATCATTGTTAGCAAAAGTAAGCAAATGCATCATTGTATAGCAAATGAACATAAAGATATGATTATTATGTAGTTGAATATCACTCATAAATTAATACTGTATGGTACAGATTGAAAATAGCTTCAAGTCGAATTCTATCACTTAATTATAGTTATGAAAGAAGAAGGGAAGGAAATCCATCGATATAACAAATTTTATCACACAATTAGAAAAATTAAGCAAATCTATCATTCTTATAGCAAATTTTCTCACTGATTTGGGAAAAGTAAGCAAATCTGGCATTGTATAACAAATTTTATCACTGGATTAGCAAAAGTAAGCAAATCCATCATTGTATAGGAAATGAACATGAAAATGTGATTATTATGAAGTTGAATATCACTTATAAATTAATACTGTATGGTACAGATTGAAAATAGTTTTAAGTCGAATTGTATCACTCAATTATAGTTATGAGAGAAAAATGGAGGCAAATCTATCATTATAATAAAGTTTATCACTCAATTAGGAAAATTAAGCAAATCTATTATTCTTATAGCAAATTTTATCAATGAATTGGGCAAAGTAAGCAAATCTGTTATTGTCTATCAAATTTTATCATTCGAATAGCAAAAGTAAGCAAATCCATCATTGTATAGCAAATGAACATGAAGATGTGATTATTATGAAGTTGAATATCACTCATAAATTAATACTGTATAATACACATTGAAAATAACTTCAAGTCGAATTTTATTACTCAATTATAGTTATGAAAGAAGAAGGGAAGCAAATCCATAGTTATGAAATAAGAAGAAAAGCAAATCCATCATTATAACAAATTTTATCACTCAATTAGGAAAATTAAGCAAACATATCATTCTTATAGCAAATTTTCTCACTGAATTGGGCAAAGTAATCAAATCTGTTATTGTATATCAAATTTTATCATTGAATTAACAAAAATAAGCAAATCCATCATTGTATAGCAAATGAACATGAAGATGTGATTATTATGAAGTTGAATATCACTTAATTATAGTTATAAAAGAAGAACGAAAGATGAATACAGCTCACGTTTCATTCGCATGTTTGTTGAAGATGAACTAAATAGGGAGAGTAGATGTTCGAATCAGAATATAGATCGAAACGGTGGAAGATTTGCTGGGGATCTGTTCGGAATCAGAATATAGATCGAAACAGAAGTGATTTCTTTGGAAACAATGGGAGATTCAGGGAAAATTTTCTTCGTTTGTTTCGATTTCCAAATCGCAAATCGCCTCAAAATGGTTTCCAAATCGCCTCAGAATAGTTTCCAAATCAAAACAATTGAGAATGAGCGTGTGTGTCACGTGTGCAGGGGAGAGGTCGTGATATCTTCTTTGCTTCACGCATGTGGCGTGACATTGAGGGGTAAAATTGGAAACTAAAATAGGGCAGGACTTGGTGGGTATTAATTTATTTTCATGGGACTGGCTGGTAAGTCCCCCAATATGTAATACATTATATATTAATCCTTATCGATCACATGCTATAGATTTAGGTTTTAAAATCAGTGAATGCATTATGCATATGGTCTGATTTTGTGATACTATAAAAATATCATGAATCTGAATGTATGAAATCTTAGTTTTGCTTCTGCTTGTTGAATGGAAAATGTATGTGTTATGAATAGTCTGAGTTTCCATGTATTTGGGGCGTTACAAACATAAACAAATTAAAAATTCTATAATACAAGAAAAACATGTAAAATATAAACCTGCAGTATATAGAGGGTGGCTAATGCTCAATTTTTTTTTCTTCAATGTGGATCATTAATTTCCATGGAATATAATTGGGGCATTACTAAGGATGATGTTGAAAAATAAAATAAATCACTCTGTTTGTTTTTAATTTTCAAAATTTATTTTTTAAAAAATTTGCATTTTCGTTTTCAGTAGTTCTTTATTTTCGCTGAATTTTTTAATTTGTAGACACACCTCATATAAATACACTTACAAAGTATAATATTCATGAAAAAAATCTTTAAAAAATTCACTAAATACCAAAAATATAAAAAAAAAATACAAAAATTCAGTACATTCTTCATATTTTTGTGTATTATTAATTTTTTAAAATATTTTTTCACAAATAATTTATTATTTAGATACGTCTAAGTAAAGTACATCTAAAAAAGTAAACAAATTGCTTAAAATTTTAAAAATATTTACTAAAAAAAACATGAAAAAAAAAACTCAATTTTCAAAAAATTAAATTCAGAAAATTGAAACCAAACGCACTGAATTATTTGAGTTATATTCTCTTTAAAAATTTAATTGAGTTTGACTTTTTATATAAACAAATTAAGTATAAATATATTTTAAATTTTATATTAATTTTCTAAATTTACTTCAACTTAATTTTTTTAAAGAGTTAACTAAAAAGCTGATTATTGATTAACAATTAGACTTTAGAGTTGGAAAGTGAATTTTTTGACGAAAAATGAATTTACAAATAACTTTCAACTTTATTATCATAATCATTTTATTTGGTTTTAAAATTTTCAAAAATAGTTTTTGAGTTTTTAATTGATATATATATATATATATTTTAAATTTTGATAAGTAACATTCCTTATAATGATTAACCTTGAACCTCCCTGATTCTGATGCAACCAGCCAAATCTGATCCATCCCAAAAAAAAAATCTTTTAAAAATTGTGGATTACAAAAATTCAATATATATATATATATATATTTAATGAATATTTTTATTTTTAAAAAATATTTTATTTTAAAAAAAATATTTAGATTAAGTGCATCTAAAAAAAATTACTAAAATATTAAAAAACATACTAAAGACAATAAAACATGATAAACAAAAAACTAAAAACTGTTTTTCAAAATTTAAAACCAAACAAAGTGAAGAATTTTTTTAATCAATAAATTAAGGGTAAAATACTAATCACTCTTGAAATTTAAAGAAAATATAATAAATTCCATAATTTTAGCATAATCACATTGAGCTCTCGTAAAGTTTTAATTCACACATAACATTTAGCTTTCATTTTCATATTTTAGTTTACACATACATTTATCCTCATTTCATCAATAATTTGTATGAACATAATAATGATTTATCCCTTTTTATTAATAATTCACTAGTCAGTGTAATTTGCTCATAAATTAAGTTTAAATTACAATCAAACAAAATCTCATTTACACAATAAAAATTTTGAATTACAAGTTACATGAAAGTTGAAAATAAAAAGGGAAAATTATACACACACACAAAAAACTCAGAGTTTGACTATTGTAACAAAATAAACTTGGAGTTTTTTATTTTATCAATTTATACCCTAATTTTTTGATTTATTTTCAATCCAAACCATTTGTTTATTTTTGTTATGTAAAATCGATAAAAAAAAATGATATTTTAGTTATTAAACTCAACAAAAAATATATTTTAGACATTTTAAGAATTTAATGGCTAAAATACTCTTTTTTTTCATAGATTTTACTTTCAGGCATAAGCAAATGGTATTACAAAGTGAAACCTGAATTTTTTTTTGGAGAAATAACAATAAAATTAAATTAAAAACCTGGGTTTCAACAATATAATAAAATAAATTCTGAATTTTGTCTATTTTCATTAAATAAAATTAAGTGTGGACAAACCTCGAGGTGGCAAGATGGCAGGGCAGGCTCGCACTATATAGTAAGAATGTGTCATTCCAAGTTTGGCTCAACCCGACATCGAGCATAATCTAGGCATCCCAAATCTAGTCCTAAAAAGATTTCAAATTTCAAACTCCCCCACTTAACCCAATAGACAAAAGCTATTAATTTTTTATTTTTTATTTTTGCCTTAAATGGATATTAAATTATTTAGATTTAAACCCTAAAAAG